GGGGAAAGAAGAGAAGATGATAGATGGTGATGCCTGTAGCTCAGTGGTTACGGCACCAGCCACATATACCGGGGCTAGTGGGTTCAAGCCTGGTCCGGGCCTGCTAAAACAACGGTGAAAACTGCAACAAAAAAAATAGTAAAGTGTTGTGGCGGGTGCCTGTAGTCAGTCCCAGCTACTTGGGAGGCTGAGGCAAGAGAATCACTGAAGCCCAAGAGTTTGAGGTTGCTGTGAGCTGTGACGCCACAGCAATGACAGATGCCCGTGTCCTGTTCCAGAGGCCCCTTCCAGAGCTCCTCCACACTGCCCTTGTGTTCAGAGCACCCCCATCTTCTGCCTCCCCAGACCCCAGGGGTGACAGGATGTTATATGATGCTTCTTTCTGGCTTAGTTTCAGCTGAGGTTTCAGAGCCTCCTAATGATGCAATAGGGGTTTGAGATTCACTCCCACTCCATCTCTGAGGTACCTCAAAACCCAGTGTTGGGAGGGGCTCCTTTTATGAAGCTGAGCACATGTCCCCTGGGGTTTGTGGACCAGACAGCTGGCTTGTTTTGCTCTTTAGAGGTGTGTATTCTGTGCCATGTCCTGAACAAAGAGGTTGGTAACTCTCCCAAAGTCCAACAGCTAGTAAGAGGCAGGGCTGGGGCTCAAACCCAGGCAGACCTGAGGATTCCTGCCCGAGGCAGCTCCTGCTAGAGTGGGGAGCCTGTGTGGCCCCCTGGAGGCCTCATGCAGAGAGCTGAGTGAAGGGTGAGCTGAATTCTTTGCTGGAGGGTAAATATGTCCCAATTTCCAGAAGCCAAATAGGACCCCACAGGTAGGGCTTCACTGAAAGAGTCACAGTAAAAGGTTCATTACCTGCTGCTCAAGATGGAGCTGATGCCCGGGGACAGCAGGTCACAGCACAGAGACAGTTTGACATCCCAGGTGCCATGCAGGGAGTTGGGAAGAAGTTCTCAAATCCATCTCTCTGAGAATTTAGGAGAAAGGGTTTTTAAAGATAGTTTGGCAGGCAAAGGGCTAGGCAATGGGTCTGCTAACTGTGTGGGGCTGGGGTGGAACCAGAAGAGTGTAGAAATTGTCTTTGCAGAATCCATTCCTGGGTGGGGGTCGCAAGGCCAGTTGAGTCAGTTCCTTGGTGTGGGTCACTGGTCTGGGTGGGTCAACTGTTCCATTAGAATGCAGGGCCTAGAAAACCTCTCACAACCTAGCCTTAGGGTTCACACAGGTGATGTCTTCTATGAGAGCAATGAAGCAAGCTAAGATCTTTGCAAACATCACCGGTGTGGCTCCTGAGTGGTCAAAGCAAGTATAGAAAAGCAAGCTGGGGACGATGGCTGGTGACACATTTATTTCCCCTCCCACAGTTTCCACTTTGTGGCCCCTTACTTATTTTATAGAGGGTGGTCTCAAGGGAGCACCGAGGGGTGCAGCACTCCACTTGAGGGAGTGGTGGGACATCGGGAGGTGGTGGCTGGGAGAGCACCTAGCCCCATCATGAGGGCTGCAGCTGGGGTTTCCATGGGAGGCCCTCAAAAGCTTCCCACAGGAGGAAAACCCAGTGCTGGTCATGGTCACACCAGTCAAAGGCAGACCCAGCCACTGCCTTGGTGCTTAAAACCTAAGCCCCTGTGGTCAGCAGAATAATGGGCCCAAAGACCCCCAGGTCCCTATTCTTGGGACCCGAGTTTATTCTGTCATTGGGCAAAAGGGACTTTACAGTTGTGATTAGGTGAAGAAGGACCTTAAGATGGGGAGATTCTCCTGGGTTATCAGGTCTCATAAGAAGGGGTCAGAGGGAGATTTGACAAAGGGCAAAAGGACGAGACTCCATTGCCAGCCTCAGAGCTGGAGACAGGGCTGGAGCCCTGGGGCCAGGGACTGGAAGAGGAGGAAAGACAGCTTCTCCCCGGAGCCTCTGGAAGGAGCCAGTGCCCCAGCCTTCACTCTGGCCTCCAGAATAGTAGGAGCACCATGGCTGTGGAGGCAAAATTGTGGGGATTTGTGGCAGGAACAATAGGAAACAAGCACACTCTCCCTACCTCAGGGCTGTCCCAGGGCTTCAAGGCAGTAATGGCAGCTTGAGGCCAGGGGATGAGGAAGATGAGGACAGAGAGAAGAAACTGATTGTGACCTTCCGCTCCAGCCCAGAGCAGAGGCTGGCAATCTGGGGAAGGGGGCTACAAATTCAGTGAAGTTGGGAGCTTTGGA